GGGGGAGGGCGGCCAGAGCGCCGGGGGGAGGGCGGCGAGCCCGGCTGTGGCCCCGCTCTCCCCGGCGGCCGGAGCGCCGCGCCGCCCCCCTCCAGGTGCCGCCCCAAGCACCAGCTTGGGTGCCTGGTGCCTGGAGCCGGCCCTGGCTCTACAGTACAAACATGGACTCCAAAATAACGACGTTATTACACTGGTAGTTTAGCTTGTGAACAGTCATGTAGACAGGATGCTTATCCTTAGTCAAAGAACTGGAAAAAGTGGGGAAAAAAATCCAAACTGCTTTTATTTACTGTACCAAAATTAAAGCTTTAAGAGAGTTACATGACCCATAAGTGACTACAATATTCCTATTTCATAGAACTTCTTGCCCTTTTAAAGTACATTATTACAATTGTTATGTGTAAAGGTCCAAGAATGAAATAAAGTGAAGGACACAATGAAACAGTTGTACTGGACTCCTGATAAGGCTTAGGTACTTTGAGAGACTTTAAGACAGAAAGTCAAGCCTCCCAAAAAGAGCCAAAACTTTTTGCAGTATTGCAATAATTATCAAATGTAATATACCTTCATTGTTACACTGGATTATACAGTTTTAATCTTAGCCAATCATTCTTCTTCCTATATTGCCTATTTTATCCAGGCTCCTACACAATAGTGACATGTAAAACAGATTTTTAAAGTCAACTTTATAAATTCATAATTTTAGTCTTCTTCATTGCTCCTGAAACATTCACTAGGTGGTATGAATAAGGGTTTAAACAAACCGTTTCTGGAGCCTCAAGTGGAAGATAATCAGGAACATGACTATTGATTAACTGCGTAATATGAATTTTAAAAGAAATAACTACCCAATTCTGATGCGTCAAAACTTGGAAGGTTTGTTACGTTCCTCTTCTGTGCTAAATGTGGTATGCGGCAGCATTATTTGCATAAGTGGTGCTTACTTCTTCTATAAGTATTTTCCAAAGAGAAAAACTTTAGAATAGTCAAACAGGTGTTTAATAAATTATTTGAACACAGGTTTGCCAAGGTTCTAGATCATCAGCTTTTAAAAAATATATATACATAATGCAGCCAGTAAAAAAAAATTTGTTTCCTACAGCTTGGTTCATGGGACCCTATGAAGTACTGCAGGATTCAGTGGGTCTTCCAAATGTCTGATACTTTGTGGAGAACTCTATGCAAGTCCTCATCAAGTATTAGTTGACACCACTGTGTATGCTAATATTACCAGTGCTTCTGTGGAATACTGCAAGCAGCGCGAGGGAATCTAGAAAAAGTTATCTAAGAGTGGAGGAAGACATGCAAGTGATGTTATGCAAACATACTCTTCGGTCAAAGATCATATGCAGAGAAGAGTACAACGACACAGGAGGGACAAAGGAGGAAAAATGGTTTTGTGATTAAAAAATAGTACTAGGAGCCAAGAACTGTTCTATTCCTAGTTTCCTTTGCATACAAGGAACTATAGCTGACCAAGACAAATTTTCCCACAGAAATGCATCAAAAATTTTTGATTTTTGAAAATTTTTAATTAGCTCCACAAATCACTTAATCATGACTGAGTTTCCAGATACTGAAAATGGGGAACATGCATATTTATGTCAAAGTTGTGGCATTTAAATTAATTTCTGTTTGTAAGTGGTTTGAAACCATCTGACAGAAGGTGCCATAGAAATGCTTAGAATTATTATTGAACAATTCTTGAATTTTCAGTTCTTACACTTATCATAAAATGTCACTACTACTCTTCTCCACAGGTATACTCTGCTGGAAAATACGTAAATGGTGTTATGCAGTAGGAGGTAGTGTTGCCTAGTGGATAGTGCACCAGACTTTCAGGAGACATTAATTCTGTTCCAAGCTCTATTAATAACCTACTAGGTGACCTTGAGCAACTCATTTCACCTCTGTTCCTCAGTTTCCCCATTTTTTGTAAAATATAGTAATGATGCCAACTTCCTTTGTAAAGCACTTCAAAATCAACTGCTGAAAAGTGTTTTTTTTTTGTTTTTTTTTTTATTATTCACATATCCTGTTCAGTCAGCCTCAAGTCACTTCTTCCCATGATTCCTGTTTGCTGCTTGCAAAAATACTGGAATTAACTGAAGCACCTGAAAGCTACATAATCATAGAATCATAGAATATTAGGGTTGGAAGAGACCTCAGAAGGTCATCTAGTCCAATTCCCTGCTCAAAGCAGGACCAACACCAACTAAATCATCCCAGCCAGGGCTTTGTCAAGACAGGCCTTAAAAACCTCTAAGGATGGAGAGTCCACTACCTCCTTAGGTAACCCATTCCAGTGCTTCATCACCCTCCTAGTGAAATAGTGTTTCCTACTATCCAGCCTAATATCCTCCCCCACTGCAACTTGAGACATTGCTTCTTGTTCATCATCTGCCACCACTGAGAACAGCCGAGCTCCATCCTCTTTGGAAACCCCCTTCATGTAGCTGAAGGCTGCTATCAAATCCCCCCACACTCTTCTCTTCTGCAAACTAAATAACCCCAGTTCCCCCAGCTGTTCCTCGTAAGTCATGTGCCCCAGCTCCCTAATCATTTTCGTTGCCCTCAGCTGAACTCTCTCCAATTTGTCCACATCCCTTCTGTAGTGGAGGGACCAAAACTCCAAGTGTGGCCTCACCAGTGCCAAAGACAGGGGAATAATTACTTCCCTCGATCTGCTGGTAATGCTCCTACTAATACAGCCCAATATGCCGTTGGCCTTCTTGGCAACAAGGGCACACTGCTGACTCATAGCCAGCTTCTCGTCCACTGTAATCCCCAGCCCCTTTTCTGCAGAACTGCTGCTTAGCCAGTCGGTCCCCAGCCTGTAGCGGTGCATGGGATTCTTCCTTCCTAAGTGCAGGACTCTGCACTTGTCCTTGTTGAACCTCATCAGATTTCTTTTGGCCCAATCCTCCAATTTGTCTAGGTCACTCTGGACCCTATCCCTACCCTCCGGACCCTATCCCTACCCTCCAGCATATCTACCTCTCCCCACATCTTAGTGTCATCTGCAAACTTGCTGAGGGTGCAATTAATCCCATAATCCAGATTATTAATAAAGATGTCGAACAAAACCGGCTCCTGGACCGACCCCTAGGGCACTTTGCTTGATACCAGCTGACAACTAAACATCGAGCCGTTGATCACTACCCGTTGAGCCCAACAATCTAGCCAGCTTTCTATCCATCTTTAGTCCATTCATCCAATCTATACTTTTTTAACTTGCTGGCAAGAATACGGTGGGAGACCATAGCAAAAGCTTTGCTAAAGTCAAGATATATCACATCCACTGCTTTCCCCATATCCACAGAGCCCGTTATCTCATCATAGAAGGCAATCAGGTTGATCAGGCATGACTGGTCCTTGGTGAATCCATGTTGACTGTTCCTGATCATCTTCCTCTCCTCCAGGTGCTTCAAAATGGATTCCTTGAGGATCTGCTCCATGATTTTGTTGGGTTCTGAAGTGAGGCTGACCAGTCTGTAGTTCCCCGGGTTCTCTTTCTTCTCTTTTTTAAATATGAGCACTATATTTGCTTTTTTCCAATCGTTCGGGACCTCCCCCGATCGCCACGAATTTTCAGAGATAATGGCCAATGGCTCTGCAATCACATCAGCCAACTCCCTCAGCACCCTTGGATGCATTAGATCTGGACCCATGGACTTGTGCATGTCCAGCAGAGCATCAGGCTCTTAATCTGAGGGTCCAGGGTTCGAGCCCCTGTCCAGGCACTCAGCTTCCCTGGCTGGGATGATTTAGTTAGGGATTGGTCCTGCTTTGAGCAGGGGGTTGGATTAGATGACCTCCTGAGGTCCCTTCCAACCCTGATATTCTAGGATACTGTGCTGCCCAGTGCAGCAGTCTGGGAGCTGACCTTGTCTGCGAAGACCGAGGCAAAAAAAAGCATTGAGTACTTCAGCTTTTTCCACATCATCTGTCACTAGGTTGCCTCCCCCATTCAGGCCAGGTCTACACTGGGGGGGAGGAGGGGGATTCGATCTAAGATACGCAACTTCAGCTACGAGAATAGTGTAGCTGAAGTCGACGCATCTTAGATTGACTTAGAATTACTTACTTCGCGTCCTCATGGCACGGGATCGACGGCCGCGGCTCCCCCGTCGACTTTGCTTCCACCTCTCGCCAAGCTGGAGTTCAGCAGTCGACGGGAGAGCGATCGGGGATCGATCTATCGCATCTACACTACACGCGATAAATCGATCCCCGATGGATCGATTGCTACCCGCCGATCCGGTGGGTAGTGTAGACATACCCTCAGTAAGGGTCCCACACTTTCCCTGACCTTATTCTTGTTGCTAACATACCTGTAGAAACCCTTTTTGTTACCATTCACATCCCTTGCTAGCTACAACTCCAATTGTGCAGTGCCTTCCTGATTACACCCGTGTGCTCGAACAATATTTTTATACTCCTCCCTAGTCATCTGTCCAAGTTTCCACTTCTTATAAGCTTCCTTTTTGTGTTTAAGCTCACCGAAGATTTCTCTGTTAAGCCAAGCTGGTCGCCTGCCATATTTGCTATTCTTTCTGCACATCAGGATGGTCTGTTCCTGCGCCCTCAATAAGGCTTCTTTAAAATACAGCCAGCTCTCCTGGACTCCTTGCCCCCTCATATTAGCCTCCCAGGGGATCCTGCCCATCAGTTCCCTAAGGGAGTCTAAGTCTGCTTTTCTGAAGTCCAGGGTTGATATTTTGCTACTCTCCTTTCTTCCGTTTGTCAGGAACCTGAACTCAACCATCTCATGGTCACTGCTGCCTAGCTTGCCACCCACTTCTACTTCCCCTACCAATTCTTCCCTGTTTGCAAGCAGCAGATCAAGAGGAGCATGGCCCCTAGTCCGTTCCTCCAGCACTTGTACCAGGCAGTCGTCCCCAACACTCTACAAAAACTTCCTGGATTGTCTGTGCATTGCTGTATTGCTCTCCCAGCAGATGTCAGGGTGATTGAAGTCCCCCATTAGAACCAGGGCCTGTGATCTGGAAACTTCAGTTAGTTGTCTGAAGAAAGCCTCGTCTACCTCATCCTTCTGATCCGGTGGTCTATAGGACACGCCTACCACATCATCACCCTGGTTGCTCTCGCCTCTAAACTTAACCCAAAGACTCTCAACAGGCTTTTCTCCAGTTTCAAACTAGAGCTCTGAGCAATCATACCGCTCTCTTACATACAATGCAACTCCTCCACTTTTTCTCCCATACCTGTCCTTCCTGAACAGTATATACCCAACTATGACAGTGCTCCAGTCATGTGAACTGCCCCACCAAGTTTCTGTTATGCCAATCACATCATAGTTCCTTGATTGTGCCAGGACTTCCAATTCTTCCTGCTTGTTTCCCAGGCTTCTTGCGTTCGTGTACATGCACCTAAGATAACTAGCTGATTGCCCTACTTTCTCAGGATGCATCAGGAGGCTTCCCGTCTTGTACCCTCCTCCTTGCATTTTCTCCCGGTATCCCACTCCATCACCATCCCCCGGTGAACCTAGTTTAAAGCCCTCCTCATTAGGTTAGCAAGCCTGCCTGCGAAGATGCTCTTCCCTCTCTTTGTTAGGTGGATGCCATCTCTTCCTAGCAATCCTTCCCAGAACAACATCCCATGGTCGAAGACTCCAAAGCCCTCTCTCCTACACCACCTGTGTAACCAGGCATTCACCTCCAAGATACATAAGCTACAATAAGACAACAAGAGCCCAACCAACTCCTAAGTAGTGGGAGCACAGAACTCAATACATCTAGGTGCACTCTGTGCATACTCCTGACTTTACCTACTATAATTCTACTAATAGTGCCACTAGTTAGAATGAGTGAGAGGAGAAAAGGAACTAGCCGGAGTCTACCAAATTTCACTGCACAGAGAGCTCTGAAAAACCTAAGGTCAGTCTGGTCAGACATCAGAAGGAAAAAGCTTATTTACATTTTAGGTGGAAAAAAGCCAAAAAAAATTTTAAAGCTTGTAGTATGAGGCTCATTTGCAGACAAAATTTCTCTTACATTGAGCTTTAATACAGTACAGCAGATGTAGACTTCTCCAGCCCTCAACTATCATTAATTTTGGTTTCTTAAACATTGTTTCTAAATGCGGATTTTCCATAGAATATTAAATAGATGTCCTCTCCTCTCTCTTTGGTGATCTTATTTGTCCCCATGGCTTCTGCTACCACTTGAACACAGATTACTGCCATATGCATCCTCTTCTACCCATGATCTCTCATGCTCTATCTAGTCACAGATCTGTGCCTGCCTCTGACACCTCTTCCTGGACTCAGCAAGTCTAAAACTGGGTTTATCATGTCTCCTTCAAAGCCTTCTGCTCTTGAACCCTTTTTGTTAATTGCACCACCATACATCTTGCTACACAATCTCACAACATGGAATCATTTTCAAATCTTCTCCATTCTCAAGACCCAGATTCACCGGATCTTGCCACTTCTTCCTCTAGTCTCTAAAATTTGTTAATTCCCCTCTGACTCCCTATTTCTCATGCTTTGCTTACTTTAACACTCTCCTCTCCAGCCACCTATACTCATCTTTCTATTCCAACTACAGTCCACTCAAAACACTGCCACCCCACTCCCAATCAAAGGAGTTCTCCTTTTGACATCATCTCCTCTTCCTCCCCGAATCACTTCATTGGATTATCCCCACTCCATTTAAAGTTTATGCTTATCTTTAGTTTCAAGGAGCTCCATAATTCAGCTGCTGCCTACATAACTACCCTCACCTCCACTCAGCCTTAAACATCATTCCGAACTGCTCCTTTTGCCACCCTTGCTCACCCCATTTTAACTGAGAAAGATGGAAGGAGAGTACTTCATTACTGAAAAGACTATGAAAACCGATTCTGGAACCTGCATTTCTTCCACATTTCTTCTATTTTTGTATTTTAACTCTATCCATTAGTTTGGTGCCACCAATGCTCTTGACTTTTAGCTGTGAAAACAGCTAATCAGTATCCTACAAAAAAGATACTGCTATGTGTAGTTCACTTGTTGGAGTGATGAATGCCAAGAACTACAGAGGCCAACTTTTCAGCAATCAAAGGAAGAAAATATAAGACTTACTGAGATGTTAGTTCTGTATTCATTTCTTCTTTCAAAAAGACAAAGTTTTCTCTGTCATCAGGCTCCAAAGAGCTGATGTCAGGTCCATCTTGATATGGAGTAATCACTCTCCTGACCATAGCTGGAATCTGCAATATCAAAAGTTAATGTTACACTGCTCCTCTTAAGCTGTGTACTAGAAAGCATACTATTTCTTGAAGAAGTACCAGATCAGTGGTTCTCAAACTTCTTTTTTTCGCAGGACCACTTGAAAATTGCTGAGGGTCTCGGCGGACCACTTAATGATCTTTCCAAATGTTGTTTGTACCGTTAGCTAACTATTGTAATGCGCTTTGGATAAAAGCACTATATATAAAAAAAAAAAACCCACTTAATAATTAACTTTCTTTGTTCTAGAAATATAAGCACAGAACTCATATTTTAATATCAGTAGTCTTACCTTTCTAATGTGATGAATATGCCCTCTCTCCCCTACCGCAGCAGCCCCCGAGCTGGGGCTGGGAAGGAGGGGGGTCTCTCCCCCGCCACAGCAGCCACAGAGGGCCATCTCTCCCCAGAAGCCGCAGCCCTGGAACTAGGGAAAGTCGCCTCTTTCTCTGGCCACCACAGCCCTGCATGTCCCAAATTCCCCCCACTCCCTCTTCTCACCCCACTACTCCCTAATTCCCCCCAAAGCCACTAGCTCACCTTACATGTGCATCTTCCCCAGAGTCCAGGCAACTAATTAGTGGAGCCACGCCTGTGCGGCTACACTAATTAGGTGGGTAGCCCTCCATTCTCTCGTGTGCGGCCACCCAAGTGCACACCTTACAGGGAACTATCCGCAGACCACTGGTGGTCCACGGACCACAGTTTGAGAACCTCTGTACCAGATTATAATCACTCAAATACATAATTTTAGAATCTGGGTAATATCACCATTATGCATTACAGCCTACAAACCCAAGGAAATTTATAATTAAAAAAAACCCCACATACACACACACACTCCCACATCCACACACCACACATTCTCGAATTCTTTTAAAGAAAACACAGAGGTTCAGAACTCACTTAGTTTAAACTGACTAGGATACTTCATAGAAGAATGGCACAGATTTATGCACACATCACAATCTCTTACCATTAAAGTATGAAAGAGGAAAAATAGTTTATACGGTATGCTGACTCTCCCTTGCTTACTGGCAAAGTTTCACTCATTTCTTTTATTTCACTTAATATTAATTCTTCCTACAATGCCCTACTAATATTAGAACAGGAAAGCAGAATTAGATGCTCTTGGAAGCTACCAATTCTGCTAAAAATTAAAGTGTTACCTCTTCCCCACGCACCACAAATTCTTCCTCTGCATAGAATTACCTGACACTTATTTGTTCACTAAAGCCAATTTAGAACATATGTTTTGTGGTGCCATTAATACCATTAAATGCATATGACTGATAGTATTAATGGAACTCAGAATTATGCATGTTGTAGTGGCAATAAATGTGTAACTATAAGAAAATTTCAGAAGTAAAGAAGAATTAGGAAAATACAGATCAAATTTATTTCTGGATTAATGTCCCACCACCCACATGAGCATTTGGCACATATTTATCAGCTTAACTCAATGTTCATTTTAAAAGTAGTCACTTTTCACTGAACTAGGTATAGCTTACCATTTTTCTGTAAGACACAGAAAGGTCCTTCAAAACGTCATCACTTAAGACGTCCAGAGTCCTAAAATAAGATACATAGTTATAGCCTCGGTCTCATTTACCATACTTTAAGTCATTTGATTCAAACTGCAAGATATTTGTTCAATAAGATTCAAATAATCACAGTTCAGGGTACACATATGTAGAGGTGATAGCATTAGATATTATGGTCATGGGCACTAACATTCTACTTTAGCTATATCATCAAATGTTAAAGTACTTTCTCATCTACCTTTTGCCTACTTGTTTGGCTCCTTTGCGATATGTTCTAACAATCCAAGGCATTGAGTAGCTTCTAACAAGCAAGTTTTTGTTTTGTTTTTTTAAATCAATTTGCTACACAGAGTTTGTTTGGGATATGGTGCAGATTAACCCTTTAAGTAAAATTATTGTTGCAGGCAATAAAAATTGAGGTCTTTGCTTTAATCTCATTTACTTGCTTGTAACATATTATAAACCTACTATGTGTGAATAAAGCAATTACTTTAAAGAGAAATTGTTTACACTGAAACTGCAACAACTATCATGTATGTAAAAAATACCAACATGATGCTCATGACTAGAGCTGAGTAAACTGGGTTCTTGGTTCGACCAGCAAATTGAAAAGAATCACAGAAAATAGTCTGTTCCAAAAATATTTGGCATGTGTCAGCAAATTGGAAACGTTTGTTTCGGTCCAGCTTCAAGAAACCACGCGTTCCGCCCTTTAATACGTAGCCCAAAGCTCAGGGCACTCACCTGGGATGTGGGCAACTCAGGTTTGAATCCCTACTCTGAAACAGGGACTTGAACTCACATCTCTCCCTGCCAGGTGCTAGGCTATTCCAGGGTAGGTTACTCTCAGTCTCTGCTCTTGAAGCTGTTCCACATTGTATAAATACTCAAATATTAATTGGGCCAAATAGAGGGACAGAGTGAGAACGATTCAATAGCCTGGTGATTAAGGCACTCCCCTGCGAGGTAGGAGGTATGGATTCAAATCTTCTCTGCTTGATTCAGAGGAGGGATTCAAGTCCCTACTCCAGAGTAGGGATTCAAACCTGCGTTTCCCACATCCCCGGCAAGTGCCCTGGCTCCTCGGCTAAAGTTATAGAGGGCAATGGAAGGACAAACAGTTTTCTGAAGCTGATCCTGAAAAAAAAATCTTTTTACATCCAAAAATCTCAGGCAAAAACAGTGATAAATTTGGGGTTGTTCAGCGAATAAACTATTTGTCTCAAAAATTTCGCCTAGCCCTACTTATAACCATTTTGAAATGTCTTCCAGAACTACCTTGCAGGTCTCCAGTCTTAGGCCTGATTCAAAGCCCACATCAGTGGAAAGACTCCTACTGACTTATCTCAATGGGCTTTGGAACAGGCTCCTTCTGCCTCAGGATTACAGAAGTAACACTTTATTATGTGTCGGAGTAGAGGTGAAACAGGTACATAACTTGCAAGAAAGGCACAGTAGTTTCAGCACAAATGAATACCATTGCAGCTGAGGATTTTTGGTTATATTCTCAACTATGACTCGTAACATTTCCTGATAATTCTTCCAACAGTTCCACTTTTGCAGTATTGCATACTGTAACACCTACATCCACTCTTACCTCGCTTCAAGCAAGGCTGCCATATTTAGTCCTATAAACTGCAAGCAGGATAGTTTTAACTGTTCAGCACTGTATGTTGCTGAAAACTCCAGCAGCTCAGCAGCATTCTTTAAAGTAACTGGAAAGAAGAAACATCACAGACTTAACTAGACAACATACTGCAATTTTGTTTTGTAATCACTTATTACTTCAAGATATACAGTATGAATGGGGGAAAATCAGGTTATGAAAAAGAATAAAAATAAACCCTTTTCCTGGTTCATTAGACAGAAGCACTAATGCTTAAGTGGCCCTGACTCCACCCAAGGCAACACTATTAAATACTTATGTAGCATGAATTTGACTGATGCTTTACAGAAATCGAAAAGATAGTCCCAGCTATGAAAGGCCTACAGTCTAAACACAGATCAGCTTTGGAAATGGAGCAAACAGACAAAGGGAGTGAGAAACATAGGTTAAAACAACAGTAACATGAATAAATTTATATTGTGAACAAAGCTTAAGCTCCAATATTTTCCTATAGCTGAGAAAGATGTAGTGAGAGAAGGCAGGAATGGAAGTCACCAAGGAAAGCCAAGCAAAACAAGTAGATTCTGAGAAGAGAGATGAAGGAGAGTGAGAATGGTTGGTGTGCTAGAAGAGGGAGGCATCTCCACCCAAAAAGACATTGTCAAGAGAAGTATGAAAGCACAAAAAGAGCAACAAAAGAGTTAGGGAAGGACATGAGAGGGGAATTAGGTAGAAACATGAAACAAATTGTGTAGGGCCTTAAAAAAGTGAGGACAAGGAGTTTGAATTTGATGACGTAAGAGACCCAGAAGTAAAGATACTTGAAGTGAAGTGACATGACTGAAGTTGCACGCCAAGAAGATTATTTTAGCTCTAGAATGTTGGGCAGTCTGAAGCGGGTGTGGCTACAGATGTCCAGGCAAGAGAGAACAATGACATGAACTGGAGATTCACTCCTTCCTTTCCATAGCCACAGCTAGAGTTAAGAAGCGTCATACTGCAACTCACAAAAAAAGCTTACCTTCTAAACAACTAGGTTTATTTTAACAAATCGAAAAAAATGCAGCCACTTCATTAAGAAACATAGTAAAACACTCACGTTTTTCAGTAATGGCTACTTCACACATTTCTTTCAATCGAGATACAAGGAGTTGGTCTGCTACCACCAGAACATTACAAATAAATTCCACATTTTGAGAGTCTGGAAAATAAAGAAACGTTGCATGAGAAAGATGACTGGTTAAGTAGAAAAATGCTTCAGAAAAGTTCCAACAAAGGCCAGTTTGCTCCACTGTTATTTGTAGGCATCATGGCAGAGGTAGTTTGTGAAGTGGGATTTAAAATAGGACAAGGTGGCAGTGGCTTTGCAAATCTTGTAGAGAAGGAGTTTTTCTTATGTATAAAAGGGCAACTTAGAACAAATACTGAGGGGCTTGTGGGAAAAGCAGCAGATCATGGTGTCTTCAGCAAAACAAAGGTGGAGGGGAAGACAACACGTGGTAAAACCACAACTAACTCCAAACTATAAAATGATATCATATTGTTAGGGGTTTACCAAATAATACATATGATTCAAAAGGCAATGCAGTATCTTTTTAGTAAAAAATGTCATCTAATTGTGGTACTTTACTGTACCACTTCCCCCATATCACTCAAATGTCTCTAATTTGAAAGAGTTCACACTGTAGTGCATAATATCCAAACTTTCTGCTTCCTTCAGGTGTCTTTTCCTTGTTTATTAAAACAAAAATAGCAGAATTATTTGAAAGAGATCAAGCTGAAATGTATTGCTTTTAAAAACTCGCTGTCAATTGTTCATGCCCCCAACTCTACAATTTCCAGAAACAAATATATTGTCAGCACCTTTTATTGCAGGAGCTTCATCTGTATAGATGTAATCCAGGATAACCTGCAGTATGTCAGAATGGATTGGCATTTCCAGAGCTGCACAACAGGATGCCTAAAGGAAAAAGGGATAAGAAGAGTACAATTTCAAAAACTGCCCATTTAAAATCAAAGGTGATTACAAGAAATTACAAGGAAAACTCCGGTTCCTCCAGAACAAGTAGATTTCTGGAGAATCTGAACTCCTGCAGTACTGGATAGGTTTGAAGGATGGGACCCTATTCAGTTGTCAATACCGACGCTATATGCTGCTTTGGCAAGTCTGTTCTGATCAAAGTAGTCGGTGCTCATGAGGATGACTTGGGGGGCGCTGAGACCATATCGGAGACATGGCATCTTCCGGGTACCAAGGCCATCTTAGTGGTCAACTTAGATGTATACCATACAGGAGTTGTGAGTATAGTTCTCTTAGTGGTGGAATGCTCTCATGATGCAGTGTCCTGCTTGTGAGGCACCGAAGGTCTCAATACAAAGCATGCTTGTTGTCCTTTTTCTCTGCTGAGCCCGGAGCCCCAGGCACAGGATTGGTACTAAGAATGTCTGGAGCCTCAGCCATACCCAGGGTGGGACACAAGGTCTCCACAGCAGTCTCCACAGGGACTGAGGTCTTTTTGAGATGGACTCTTTCTGGAGAAAATGACTCAATTTTCTATGGGTTTTCTTCATGAATTTACCTTGGGTAAACACAGGTGAATGTGCTGAAATTGACAGGGCACTGTGTTCACTCAGTTACCGATGTTTCGGTTGGGGGGCAGGAGGGATGAGAGAGGTGTCTCCTGGCCTGGACCTGAGGCCAGTTGCAAGGAACGCTCCATCATTAAGAGCCTCAGTTTTAGCTCCCGATTTTTTCTTGCTCTGTCCTTAAAAAAGTAGAGCAGATGGAGCACTTCTGCAGGATATGAGACTCTCCCAAGTAGTGGATAAAATGGGAATGCCAGTCACTGACCGGGATGGACTCCCAGCAAGAGACGCACTGCTTGAAGTGAGCCTGGCATACCCTGGGGCAATGGTATCTAGCAGGGGAAGGCACCCCTTGCCCAAAGAGGAAAGGGAGAGAGAGTAAATCCCAAAATACAGAAGTAAATAAAATAACTAAAGAAAAACAATAAAATAAAGAAGGGAAACTAGGCTAAGAGATTTTGAAAGTAAGGCACACTAACCCTCCGTCTCAGGCCAAGGGAGGTGAGAAGGAACTGAGGGCGGTTCGCTCGCATAGTCATATGTAACCTCAGAGCAGGACACAAGGAAGTGCAGCCCAAACAGGCACTACTATCAAAAATCTCTGATTAAAGGTACATGGGGTGTGAGCGCACCTGAAGTGGAGCACTCATACAGACACTATTTGAAGACTAATATTATCTACATGTCATTTATTAAGACCTACTGCAGGAAGGAAGTTTAATACACCTCCAAGGATATTAGCAGCTCAAACTCACTGAGGGGGGTTTATAATACTACAGATTAGTTGCAGTAGAAATTTCTAAGATAGCAATATACTTATTAACTCAAAGTATACTTTTACATAAAATTACCATGGCTCATAATATTTATGCTTAATTTTTTTTATTTAATACAGTTTCTGAATGGTTCAAAATTAGTGTTTCTGCTAAAATTTCCCATTTTCTTACAATTTTTACACAAACTGTATTTTAATTTACATTCCAGGTAATGGCAAAAATCTCATTTGAGAGAGAGAGGAAAATCTTCATTTACTTACATTAATGAAAAACAACTAATGCGGCACACATATTTTCAACTGGCAACCTTACCTCAATCCAAGAACTGCTTAACATCCTATGAAAGTAGTCTATAAAGAAAAAAAAAGAAAAAAAAAAAGCTCATTTTGAGACATCATAAGAGAGGCAAGTTACTGTGAACAAAAGAATCTACAGATACTACATACATACCAAGTCTTGCACAGAGTACACATTTGTGACAAGGGAATTCCTTTCCATCTATAGATTTCATGGTCACATCACAGAGGTATGAACTACAAGACATTTAGAACAGTTATAATCCTGAAATTATTAGCAAATATAAACTCTATAAAACAGTTCATTTCTCTTTTGTGCTTGAAACCAGCTTTGACGGGATTAGGCTTCTTGTCCTCTCAAAGATGGGAGGGAAAGTACAAATATTTACTAGAAACACAATACACTTACCTTTATGATGGTAAACATAAGAAACAAGACTTCTCAACAGTCTTAAAAGGATTAAAAAAAAAAAAAAAAAGCCAAGCTAGTCAAAGGCAAGCTAACTAGTGAAGAGGATTTCCTCCAAAACCAATTCTATCTTCCAAATATTGCTTCTCAAGATAGTGGTCTGAAGGCAGCAGCAGCCAAGCTTCCTGCAGAGGCAGGAGGTGGGTATGATCTCCCCTGTGCTGCCAGGAGCGGCCGAGCAAGGGGCTCCTAGCTGCCAGTCCTCACCAGGCTGGGGAGGGACAGGACTTCCTCTTCCCCTACATGGCCCCTCTCAAGAGGAGGCCAGACCCATCTCCAGGGATCTCTCCCTGCTGCAGGAATCTTTGGGCGGGGCAGGAGCTCTGGAACTTCCTACAAGTACCTAGCTGCTTGTCCCGGTCAGGCTGGGGAGGGACAGGATTTCCTCTTCCTCTGCACGGCTGCTCTTGAGTACCTCTCCCAGATGCAGAAAGCTCTGCACCCCCCCTCCACACGCACTCACTTCCTTCCCCCATCACTCTGCAACTGCAGAGGGAGGAGTCACTTTACAGGGTGAGCCCCCCCACACTTCCAGATGCAATTATTAGCTTGTTTCAATAAAATAAAGGTCTTGTGAACTTGACAGAATTTATTGATGGACACTTTACAGCAGCAAATAACACTCAGAGCTCAACTCCCTGCTTAGTAGATATGGGCATCTGATATGGTTTTGTAGGGTAGTGATCTCCATTGGTAGCCTCATACTTGAGAACCACAGCCTTAAGTTAACAAAAGCAAGTAAAAAAAAAGTTCTGGTTCCTAATGTCATTAATTGAACATCAACATGGAGCATCCAGCAACTGCGTCTTTCCTCGTTCCGTCTCTACGCTGAAAACACCTGGTTCGTGTTTAGACACAGCTCTCTCTACATCCCGGAGTTCGTTGGAATTGTCAGACAGTGCCGAGCTAGCATTGCGAGGTGGGGGATTCTGCTTTCCACTGAGTTTCAAAACTGTCGCAAAGGCAAACTGCAGTCCGCTTCTTTTGTAATATTTTTGTAAGCGGGAATCTCCAGCCTACAATTCTTGTCAAAGCCAGAAATTGCATTAGGCGAAATAAATTCACCATCAACAGGTGCATTTGTGCAAGGTCAAATATACACACAACTTTTAAGAACCCTGCTGAATGTTGTTGAAACTTTTGAGCAGTTTTTGCTACATTGCTTGAGTCTTCCCCACAGCAGTAGTATTGTCTGAGCTTCTTTGCCATGCAAGAAAACACCTGCTGAGCACTGGCATTTAACTCTGCATTGTCAGAATGATTTTCATTTGATTGTGCTTCAGCCCAGAACAGTACATCCACTACTTTGTTGTACGCTTTGAGGATTGTAACAGGTCAAGATTCCAACCAAGTGATTAAATCCATCAGTCCTGTGGCATTCTTGGCAACGAACTGAACTTCCTCATTCAGCTGAGCATTATTTAGAAGGGTTGAAAGTTCTGTTAAAACCTGCATTTTCGGTGTCAGTCTGAGCTCTTCTGAGATGAACTCAAAGTAGTACATCAGGTGAGCTGCATGGTATTGTACAGCCTCAAATCAGGAATTTCAACAAGTAAGTAAGTACCAGCTCTGGGGGAAGTTCAATTTTTTGTTCGCCGATTTCAGTCATTGGCGCAATGTGCTGCCTGTATCACAGTTTGCGGCCAGGGCAGCGTTTAAAGATATTTTAATGTAGCTGACCAGTTTATCAACTTTACCTAACGCATCTCCACAGCTCTCCGACAAGACAAATTACATGTCCATTACATGTAATATGGACAGCATTTGGCATTAGACTTTGGTGAATTAGATTTGAAAGATTTCATCATGTAAGTTGCATTTTCGCTTATGAAACAGATACTTTGACAAAGTTCACACCATATTTTGAAATGGTTTTAATTATCGCTTGAGAAACTCTAGCGTAGTTAACAGCATTCAAGTAAATGCAGTTGGCAAGCACTGTTAGCTTTTCTGTCTGTACATCTTTGGCCTTGTCAGAAATAAAATCAAACAGAACATGCAGTACATAGTTGTCTTGCTCAACTGTGGACTCATCCGAAATAACTGCAAAAGACTCACATGAGTTAATTTGATACTTCACCTCCTCAAAATGTGTAGCAAAAACCTCTGGAAGGTAGTCCTGTCGTAACTTATTCGCAGTTAGTAAGCAAATGGCATTTTAGGGGATCAAGTTTTTCCAACAGGATATTAGCATTTGCAAATGCATTCACAAGTTCCATTCTAGCAAAATGATGGGTCTCAGAGCTCTCTGTCATCTTCTTAAAAAGAGATTAAATTGTTTTTTTAACTTTTCGTTTACCAGCAATGCACGATCCGAAGCCCTCTTTCTGCCTTGATGGGTTTCCAAGTCTAAGTGGTGCTGAACCATTGCCTGACGTGTGTGATCTAACAAAACATTGCAGCCTGTACAAAATAGTTTGTCACCATCAGCATGTAGAATTTGGCTTCCAAATTCTTTCACATGATCCGCTGCAGTAATGATTTTAGAGGTTTTTGATTTACTTTGGACACTCATTTTAAACTTGTAATTGCACCTGTCTTCCGGTAGGATGCCAATTGAGATCACTATTCTACAAAACCACCCCACTGTTCATATCTACCAATCAGTGAGTTGAGCCCTGAGTGTGATTCACTGCTGTAAAGTGTCAAACAAAAAAATTCTCTCAAGTTCTTCATCTTTCTTTTTATTTTTATTGAAACATGCTAATAATTGCATCTGGAAGGGGGGGCAGTTCTCTGTACAAGGACTCCTCCACCCGCAGCTGCAAAACGACAGAGACAGGAAGCAAGTGGGGGTAGTTAAAGGGGGGCAGAGCTACCTGCACCTGGGAGAGATACCCAAACGCAGGCCTGCAGAGAAAGAGGAAGTCCTGTCCTGTCCTGCCCCAGCTGGCTGGGACCAGCAGCCCCTTGGCTGGGGCACCCACAACACAGGGGAGATTGGACCCGCCTCCTCCGGCTGCAGGAATCGCTGGAGCTCCTGCCCAGTCCCCAAGCTTCCTGCAGCAGGGGAAGGTACCCAGAGGTGGGTCTGATGTCCTCCCCAAGATCAGCCGTGCAGGGAAAGGACAAGTCCTGGCCCTCTCAGCCCAGCCAGGATTCTCAGCTAGGAGCCCCTGGTTGGGGCATTCCCAGCAGCATGGGGGAGAGCAAACCCACCTCACCAAGTCTCCTCCAGCTGCAGGAACCTCCAAGGCTGCTGTCCAGCCCCAGAGCTTCCTGCAGCAGGGGGTGGCACTCAGAGGCAGGTCTTATCCTCTCCTCCCCACCCAAGAGAAGCCATGCAGAGGAAGGACAAGTCCAGGACTTGCAGCTAGGAGACCCCGGGCTGGGGCACTCCCAGCAGCATGGGAGAGATCAGATTTCACGGGGAAGGGTTTATTTCATGGTCCATGACACGTTTTTCACTGCCGTTAAATTTGTTGGGCCCTAAATATAGCCTATTCCTACAAAAGTTAAAGAATTAAGCTTTAGTACTATTGTAACATCAAAACAGGACCAAATAATTCAGATATAAATAGCAGTAGGGTAAAAATTCAGGTAATTTCCCCTCATGGGAAAATATTTCAGAGATTCTTCTCATTAAGCAACCTTGTAAATTTCTAATTGCAGAAGTCAAAATCTACATGGCTTTAGTAGGAATAACAATGTGTAGTCCTGCAACAGACAGAGCATGTCAGACTGGAAAAGTCACAAGTTTTTTTCTGACATTACTATCCTATAATATAAATGAAGCCATGGAAAATGTGACTGCACAACAGACAAACACAATCATTGAGATCTGGTTCAGAGTACTAATCCAGTATCTCAGATTACAAAAGCGTGTACAGGTAAATACAAAGCATCGCTCTCCAATGACCATTAACTGTGAAATATACACACATGCGCCTCACAAGTAATAACAGGTTGCAGAAAATTTCAGTTTACAAAATTTTGGCTGCATCTACTTAGTGTCTACTTATTTCAAAATGAAGTGATAGGTACTAAAAAATAAAGACAGATACACAGAGACTTGACATAGCTAGATTTAAAAACTTACCATTTTTTTGGGTTTAACTTTGGTTTGTTTCCATTTTTCCTGTTGACAACATTAATTTTTCCATTTTCTAGTTTAACTCCATCCAATCTGTAAGGCATAAATATTACAAACGTCAACTATTATATGTTACTGATAATCGCTATATTGATAAGGAAAAATAAGTTTGAAATTTAGTACCACTTAGTATAACATTGTGACCATAAATGAAAGGACAACAAATGCACTTCACAGAAACCTAGGAAGTCTCTTAAGAAACTGATCGATCCTTCAGCATAGATATGAAAGATATATGAAAAGGGATTGCGAGGCATCTCTCTACTACTTAACTACTCCTATTTATTTATCCTGGTCCAAGTGACAGGTGGGCTATATAAGTGACAGGTAGGCTCAGCCATCTACATGGTGTTTGCTCCTTCTGGGCCATACTTTGAAAAGGTATTGATTACCTTGAGTGGCGAGAGATGTATAGTGTTAGAGATATGCTATGAGGGTTAATTGGTGAATTGGGTGAACACAAATGGTAGGCTGAGGGACATTTTTGCTTTTAAAATGTCTGGGCTCTATCCTGGCTGTTCTTTTATGTGCACCCAGCTGTGGTAACTGCTTCCTTTTTATGACCACCACAGAATGGCTGAGAAAGTTAAACAAAGAAGTACGTTAAAAATACAGAGTGGGGGAAATTGGTTTACAAGGGTTTACTGTCCTCAATCCTTTTGATGATGGTACAGAGAGACACAAGACAGAAAAATAGTATTATGCAGAAATTTGTACAATAGCAGAGATGTTCAATCTCAACTCCACTGGTTTCATCTTGTAATATTATCAGAAATACAAGGCAGCAACAGGGTTGCAGTTCTTTGCTTCATATTGTTTAATGCAAAGTCTGCAGCATCACCCATGCAAAGATCAGCATCAACCACAGATGAGAGCCATGATTTTATATGCATCACACAAAGGACGAAACATATGGCTCAGTCTGAGACAAGGAGTTATCTGGAAAGCTACATTATTTGCATCTAAACTCAAACACAGGAAGTCCCCATCTCAAAACAGAGTAGAATGTATATATCTTGTACAAGTTTCCCAGGATAGGATTAAGATGAGACTAGTGCTGATGTACAACACTTCCTGCACCAGAGAAGGCCTAGTGGCTCAGTTGGTAACACATTGCTTTAGTTGAAGAGCAATCTCACAATTCTCTTTTTTCATAGAACCCTCAGTTGCATTACTTAAGAGTTGCTCACACTTTCTCCTAGAGAAGTGTCAGAATAAGCTGACCTCATAAGCTCCTTTTAAGACGTGCTGTGGGTCTGTGAAATGTGGGGAAGTGGCAAATAGAAACAAACTGGGAGTCATGTCAGCCCAAACTACATTGGTAGTTAAAACCCTTCCATTTTCTAGACAAGCTTATATATGGTCAAAAAGGGAGAAAAAGCAAGCACCAACTAAAGTGGATACTGACAAAGAAAAAATTGTAACACACCTTACACTTAAATTGCTGAGACTAAATTTCTTTGCAGCACCTTGCAACATTTTTATGGGGTTTACTTCTTCACCAACAACTTTGCCTTTTTTAGAAGACTTGGGTTTGTTCTTCTCTCTTTGATTTACTACATGCACTTGATTACTTCTGTAAACCTCAAATGCAGACTTTCCATTAACATCTCCACTGAAACTCATTTTATTAAGGTTAGAAATTAGGGTATCTTGATAGTCTTCTGTTTTTTCCTTATACAACATTCTTGGTTTGTAACCATGAGTCAAAAGATCACAAGTGTCCATGTATATGAACTGCAGAAGGTATGTAAACAAATCTTGATGAACCTTCTCTATCATAAAGAGATCACATCCTACAGCATCTTCATCTTTACGATAGACATCTGGAGAGTCTAGTCGATTGTCATCTGAAACGAACAGCTTTCTGAAGAAGTCAGAACGCATGGCCAAGATGTATTTGTGCGCAGGGATCATCCTACTGCCGATCTGAAAAGTCACATCATGGATGTTGTCCATTTCATCTGTTTCCCCTAACAATTTGCCAAAATCCTCAACGAAACTTGATGATGACACACTTGGAATTTCATATAGGCTATAAAGACAAATAGTTATTTTTTATTTGGTTGAATTTTAAATTCTATCATGACAGGTTTTTTTAAAATGAAGAACCTAAATTTTTGACTATTCTACATTACTATTCAAAGTTTCATACTGTATTCTTTAATACAAAGAAAATTCCTAAACTGATGAAAAGTGCTATATAAAAGCTAGATATTATTACACAATATTACATATACATATATCTCCTGTGACATTTTTCTAAAGCACCAAATATCACCTTTTTCTCTTTATAAATATTAAGCCAGACATTTTTGTATGAAGTTATCAGCAGTGTTAGTACTTTGCATGCTACCCATGTCATTTTTTCCTAAAAGGAAGTGCTTAAAGTAACTCAGAAATGTAAGAATCTTTGACATGCTGCATACTGAAGTCCAAAACAAAAATTCATGTTAAACAATATGCTAGATATTCTAAAATCTAACATGAGAGTGCAAGGAGCAGTGCATCTTTCAATGTTTCATTTACTCCAACTTTATTTCAAAGATTTAAGTTTTTGTTTAATTTAAAAAATAGATTACTTCTGCCTTTCAGTTTCTTGTATTACAGGGCATCTCTGAGAAGTAAGGAACCTATATGTTAAGAAGGATTTCCATGACACTTTATGGAATGGAGAGTTTAAGTACATTAGAAGGTAGGTTTTAAAGGGGACTTGATTATAAGTGTTTGGCTTGAACATTTTGCCTTTGGATAAACTAAGGGCTGGCCTACACCCAAAACTTAGCTAGGTCTACCTACGTCGTTCGGGGGGGGGGGGGGGAAATCACACCTCTAAAACATAGTTAAACTGATCTAAGCACTGTGGACACTGTGGCTAGACCAATGGAAGAATTATTTTGTCAACCTAGTTACTGCCATCTCAGAGAGATGGATTCACTACAGCAACAAAAGAACCCTCTGTCACTGTAGTATGCGTCTACACTGCAAAGTTTCTAGTGTAGACATTCCCTAATTAATGGCTTTTTGCCTAAACAACCTCTACATAGTTGTCTACAAATAAGTGCTAAGCCAAGATGACCATATTTACTATGATCTCTTCAGTAGCCAAAGATGGTTCTCTGTAAAGCAGAAATTTTGATTGAAACTGAAGACACAACAAGACTGTTAATGGAACAGAAAAATGCTTTACACCCACATCCCCCTCAGTACTTTCAGCAATTGAAGTTACAGCCATAGATATCTGAAATATACCTTGTTTTAGGATCTGACTGTAAAACAGCAAAGTTACATCCATTAGGATCTGTGGTAACACTAACACCTCTGTGGACAAAAGCAAGCTTCTCAAGTCGAATTCTTTCATATACACTGTTTGTATCATAGTGACAAGACACATCATATGAGGAATTCTGAAGACTTGATACAACCTCTGTTAAAAAAGAGATGTTGGAAAAACATGGAAGGGTCAAACTAATTAAGATTTAACTGATAAAACAAAGGACAAAATTAATTACTGGTGTGAGTCCATTGAGTTGGGGTCAACAGAGTTACAACTGAGATCAGACTGAAGACTTTGGCCCAAACAGCATTGACTTCAATCAGGAATGGCACGCCTAAAGAGATAAGCCTACCTATATTCTGATCCCTGGACTTGGGAGATCTCCCACCCAATGAGTACTCATCCAACCCAAACCACCTCATTTTGTGAGATCTGGCGATATCACATGCAAGATGGCATGGCTATGGATTAAATGAAGCATACTCTGCTTTTTCTATTGTACTTCAGTTACAACACTAGTAAAATATAGTACACAAAATGTCCCTTTCGTATTTTCATGGTATATCTTCACTTTGGAAAACTTCAAAACAAAAATTATTTTATTCATTATAAATTTATGGCAGGTGAATTCTGAATAATGAATATTGGAAAATATTATTAAGATATTTCTTTCCATTTCTGCTTAAAAAGATATTAAAATTATGTGCTTCTTAAATTGTAGTCTTAGGTAGAATGCAGAGAACACTATTAATAAGCAATAAACAAAATGAAAATCTTTCTACCTTTATAAGGTCACCAGTCCAGCACAAGGACAGGGAGAGTGAACCCAAGACTACAAAGGCCTTTGGTTCAACATCTATCAAGAATAAAGATATTTTAGTGCATTATGGAATTGTAAGACCAGCCCAGCAGTAAGACCAGTGTACCATACGCTGCTATGTGGAAGGTCCAAATTAAACAGATTCCCCTGTTCTGACACTTTACAGGGCTAGGAGAACAGAGATGAGGAGGAAGAATTACCATGACATGTGACTTTCTTGGAAAGTAGAGAAGCAAAAAAGGAAAACTGATGGGCTAACTCAGAGTTTTGAGGAGGGAAGGGAAGACCTTGCAATGAAGGAATGCAAGATTGGAGGCTTAAAACTGAAATTATAAATTGGAAATTAAGGTCCTGGAAATGTGATGTGGCCATTCATCCGTAGGCCATAAAAATCCAAACCCACCCAGCTTGACAGGGACAAAGCAGTTACCATCTGTGCACTTTCAGTTGGTCCGTGTGAACAGAGCTGATTTTTTCAATCAATTCCTATGGAACAGGTGTTTCCAATTACAAAAAACAACTTCCTAATACTGAGACCCTTAGTCAGCAGATTCAGCTAAGAATACAAGGACTGAATTGTTTTGGAAACTGAACTACCTGCTGATCTATATTAGCAGTCTCTATGAAACAAGATTAAGTTACCCTAGCAGGGCAATGTGAGGAAGCACATACTCTTTTCACTTGAATCAATTCTTTACTGATAGGAGGACCTACTTTCCCAATGCTGTACATCCAGTACATTTCAGGATCACTAACGTTCACATAAATGTTGGACACCTATGACCCTGTTCACCACGAGTTATTCAGGATACAGCTTGTGCACCAGAAGGTCACTGACAACTGAGAGAGACAAGTTAAACTGAACATGGCGGGGAAAACAAAAAACAATAGCAAAAAACTAAATTAGCTGAACAGTGCCAAGTCTCTCCTATTTCTTTTATCTATCTGTCAGTCATGAAGGAAGTAGAGATAGCCCATCACATACTACTAATAGATCAGGCAGATTGACTAAGGGAAAATTCCCTCTCCCATTACAAAACCTGAAAAAAATTACAAATGCACCTCTACCTCGATATAACGCGGTCCTCGGGAGCCAAAAAAATCTTACCGCGTTATAGGTGAAACCGCGTTATATCGCGCTTACTTCGATCCACCAGAGTGCGCAGCCCTGCCCCACCGGAGCGCTGCTTTACCGCGTTATATCCGAATTCGTGTTATATCGGGTCGCGTTATATCGGGGTAGAGGTGCATTGGGTGAGAGGAGAGGAGAGATAGGGAATGTAAAGATATTTATTGAATTAGAAATAGGTCATAAAATGTAACTAACCTTTCTTTTCAGAAGTTTTTTTCTCTCCTTCTACCCACTTTCCTGTAAAGGCGTCACCATCCTGTGTGACAAACATTATTTCATTCCTATTTAAAGCAACATCAGACATGAAGACTTGGCGGCCATAGACCCATCGACACTGCTTCATAGGACTGTTGGATGACTTCCAGCAAAACACCTAAAATATGAATGGGGGGGAGGAGTGTTTAGAGAATTTAGAAATCTACAAGAAAAAAAGCAACTCACAGTGATGTGCACTACAGCATTATTAAACCAGAAGCACATGTCATCTCAAAATTATTGAGGAACAGAGGGGAGATTATGAATTTTTAACAATGCAAGTTTATTTGGAATGAATGATTTATTTCACTGTGAGCAGTAAAGGAAGATGCTTGGATATCAAAAGTTACCTGCCCATTAAGGCTTCTTTTTAAACACTTCTCTACTAGATAACTTACCTTATTTTGATGTTCTTACCTACAATTTTTAGTTTCAAGTACCATTCTAAAAAGGTAGGAGTCTACTGTCGCGATCTGCATTTTTAGAATAAAGCAGCAGAAAACTGAAGTAATTACTATGAAGTAGCTAAATTATGAAGCAATTAGGATTCCAGCTGTACTTTCCCTCTTTCTTCTTGCACTTCAATAGAACCCAAATGAAATATCTTGTTCAAGGAGAACCAGAAATATACCAGTCTTTAATGAGGGCAATTCCTATCAAATGACAAGTATAGTCCACCTCTCAGTTATTTAGATACATTTGTCTTCTAGTTCCTTTGCTTCTAACACCAGACAACATTCAAAAGATATCTATTATAAGAACAAAGATAGTCTAACAAACACAATATGCCTGTTTTTAACTATCAGACTAATAACACCAAAAAAACCTCAATGCTGTTTTAAACTTTAAGAAGATAAAAACATAAGAATGGTATGACCCAGTACAGTCAACGGCCTACTAGGCCAATATTCTGTCTTCTGACAGTAGCCAGTGCCAGATGCGCCAGAGGGAATGAACAGAACAGGGCAATTATTGAGCAATCCATCCCGTCATCTAATCCCAGCTTCTGGCAGTCAGAGGCTTACAGACACCCAGAGCATGGGATAATGTCTTGGCTAATAGCACTGATGGACCTATCCTCCATGAACTTATCTAATTCTTTTTTGAACTCTGTTATAGTTTTCGCCTTCACAGTATCCCCTAGCAATGAGTTCCACTGGTTGATTGTGCATTGTGTAAAGAAGTACTTACTTATGTTTTTGTTAAACTTTCTACCCATTAATTTCACTGGGTGACCTCTAGTTCCTGTGTTATGTGAAGGGATAAATAACACTTCTTTATCACCTTCTCCACACCATTCATGATTTTATAGATCTCTATCATATCTACCCTTGGTCGCCTCTTTTCAAAACTGACCAGTCCCAATTTTTAAATCTCTCCTTATATGGAAGCTGTTCCATATATCCAATCATTTTTGTTGCCCTTCTCTGCACGTTTTCCAACTCTAATATATCTTTTTTGACATAGGGCAAATAGAACAGCAAGCTGTAATAAAGGTATGGGTGTCCCATGGATTTATACAGTGGCATTATGCTGTTTTCTGTCTTATCTATCCCCTTCCTAATTGTTCCTAACATTCTGCTAGCTTTCTTGACTGCCACTGCACATCGAGCGGATGTTTTCAGAGAACTATCCACAATGACTCCAAAATCTCTTTCTTAAGTGGGAACAGCTACCCAACATTTTGTATGTAAAGTTAGGATTATGTTTTCCAATATACATTACTTTGCATTTATCAACATGAAATTCATCTGCTATTTTGTTGCCCAATCACCCACATTTGTGAGATCCCTTTGTAACTGTACACTGTCGGCTTTGGACTTACCTATTTTGAGCAATTTTGTATCATCTGCAAATTTTGCCACTTCACTGTTCACCCCTTTTTCGAGATAATTTATGAATATGCTGAACAGCACAGGTATCAGTACAGAACCTTGGGGGAACCCCACTATTTCTCTCTCCCCTTTGTGAAAAAATGACCCTTTTAACCAGTTACTGATCTATGAGAGGACCTTCCCTCTTATTCTATGACTGCTTACTTTGCTTAAGAGCCTTTGGCATGTGACCTTGTCAAAAGCTTTTTGAAAGTCCAAGTACACTATATCAACTGGATCATTCTTGTCCATATGCTTGTAGACTGCCTCAAAGAATTCTAATAGACTGGTGAGGCATGATTTCCGTTTACAAAAGCCATGTTGACTCTTCCTGATCATATTGTGTTCATCTATGTGTCTGATAATTCTGTTCTTTACTACAGTTGAAACCAATGTGCCTGGTACTGAAGTTAGGGTATTGACCTGTAATTGCCAGAATTGCCTCTGGAACCTTTTATAAAAAAGTCAGCATTCACATCCAGTCACTGGTACAGACGCTGATTTAAGTGACAGGTTTCATACTGCAGTTAATAGTTTTGCAATTTCATATTTGAGTTACTTCAGAACTCTTGGGTGAATACCATCTGGTCCTTATTACTGTTACATTTATCAATTTGTTCCCAAACCTCCTCTGTTGACGCCTCAATCTGAGACAGTTCCTCAGATCTGTCAACTCAAAAAAATGGCTCAGCTGTAGGAATCTCCCTCACATTCAGTGCAGTGAAGATCAATGCAAAGAATTCGTTTCACTTCTCCACAACCTTCTCTTCCTTGAGTGCTCCTTCAGCACTTTGATCGTTCAGTGGCCCCACAAACGCTTTGTTTTATACAGGCCAAGATTACAAAGCAGAATCAGAGATTTGGTTATGATCAAAGATTACCCCGAAACATATTTAAGGTAGGACAGATTTACAGAACTGCAGGTGGGGGAAAGGGGCGGGTGTGACACTCTGTACCCCTATGGTTCACCTCTTTTACAGGACTATGATAAATTCTGTACAAAGTATGGCTTGTGAGGTATCATTCAAAAACTCAATTTGCTGATCATTATTGTCCTGGTAAAATATGTGTGGCACCATCGTATGTAAAATTATAAGAGTCCTCTGTACGGCATTACTAAGACATGTTACAAGTCTGGGGAGCAGTCACAAATCCCAGAGACAAAAGACTCACCAAAACCTCAGCCAGGTGTCAAAAAAATCAAATGAACCATCTCATGGTTAAGTGGCCATTCTTTAGCAGGAAAGATGGTGTGTGGGTGAAAAAAAAAAAAAAAAAATCTACATCTTGACAAAAAGGCTGCTTGGGTTTCCCGTCTACACAGACTTTTTGCCACCTGAATCTCAGATGGAAATGTTTCTCAAAGAAGACAAAGAACTATGAGAAGGGAGATTAGATGCCCTAAATCCTCTCCTTTTCTCGCTAGCTATGGCATCGATAACACCTGAAGAAAAATGAAGTGACATTAGATTGGGGGAGGGATCCTGACTGCAAGAAATTCAATCAGTAAACTTGCTGAAACATGTGTTGAAAGAAACCTATGCTTTGAATTCACTTAGCTTGTTAAAAGTAATATGCAACTAATGCCTAACTTATTTTCTTGTAACCAATAATGACTTTTATGCCTCATTACTAGTAATTACTTAAAATCTATCTTTCTATAGTTAATAAATTTGTTTTATTGTTTTATCTGAAGCAGTATGATTGGATTGAAGTGTTTGGGAAACTCCATTTGAGATAACAGGATTTGTGCATATCATTTTCTGTTAATAAAATGACAGACTTTATATGAGCTTGTATTGTCCAGCAGAGCTGGGCAGTACAAGACGTACATTTCTGGGGAAAGTCTGGGACTGGGAATTTGCTGGTGTTCCTCTACAGTGTAATTCAAAAGTGACTGGTAATAGCACTGATATTAAACTGATAAGAACAGAGAATTTTTTCACTTCAAGGTCCCAGAAACAAAGACAAGGTTTTCATCTCGAGGCCAAAAGACCAAAAACATCAAGACACTTGATCACAGCCTTGGATAGACCAAGTTAACTGGGAGTAAATTACATGCTGGAGACTGTGTGCAACCAGACAGAAGTGGTAGCTCTCACAGCAAAGCAGTGTAAAATGCACCCAAGCCTTGGAGAACTGAGGGGATACAGCTGTTCATCAGTCCAGATTGTACCCCGGGTAATGACACCGAGGGGGGGAGAGCTCAGTGGTTTGAGCATCGTCCTGCTAAACCCAGGGTTGTGAGTTCAATCCTTGAGGGGGCCACTTAGGGATCTGGGGCAAAAATCTGTCTGGGGATTGGTCCTGCTTTGAGCAGGGGGTTGGACTAGATGACCTCATGAGGTCCTTTCCAACCCTGATATTCTATGATTCTATGGGAAGAAGCTGTGCAGCAAGTTTTCTTTTCCTTAAATACTGCATGAGGAGAGGGGAGATAAGGCCAGACGACCAACTATCGATTCAGTGCTGAAAAGCATGAGAGGGTCCCCCTCCCTTCCAAGCAGTCATTTGCAATGTTTGTGCCTAAGACAACCTTGATACTCACAAAACTACCAGTTTCCATTTTACTTGCACACTATCTGGCGTAAACTGGCATAACACCACTGAAGTAAACAGAGCTATGCTGGTTCGTATTGGCCCAGCGTCTCTAGGAATTAGAAAATATTGCAGCCACACAGGTGATCCCACAGGCCGAGTAACTTTACGAGTCACATGGCTTGCAGCATGCATGTGCACACACATGAACGTCTTGACAAAATAAACTCCATTTGACAAAATATTACCATCTAATTTGAAAGACTAGATGCACCTATCAAAAATCTGCTTTACCCTGTAAAAAGAGCTCAGTCATGTTGCAAAAATGAAGACCGAAAAATGCAGAGAGGAACACCAGTTCAGTTCTGTCCTCTTTATTTTCATGTGCTAACACAATTTTAGATTTCTCTTCCATGCAGCATTTTCATTAAACAAAAACTTTACTGGCACCACTAGATGGTGCCACAAGTTTAGAACTTGCAATGAACTAATTCCAGGATGCTTTGAGTTTTGAGGGTTTCTAGGAAGAGTTGCTATAATATGGAAAGCTTTAGTAAATTCTTCTGCATTTTCACACTAACGAGAACATACAATTGTCCGCAATTAAACATATATACTAAGCCATTCATTGGGTATGGCATGTAAATTTTTAAGTGTGGTCAGACATACTTTACATTGTATCTAAGGTAATGGTTTTAAGGTGGGCTGTAGTCACACTCGGAAACAGAAGAGACACAAACAGAGATTCTAGCCTGTTGTACACTGTTGTACTGGTTTGTGCGAGAGTATCGACCGCATCTTAGAGGAACACTGGCAGCTGCGTATAAGAGGGATGGACATTTTCAGATAATGATATTGGCCTCTCTTAACATGGCAATTTAGACCAACATTTGACAAATATTAAGCGTAACATCACGCACTTGAGGCAAACAATGAATACAGAACAAAAAAAATAAGGACCTAAAAACCAGTGGCCCACAGTTAAGTAACTATTAATTCCCTCAATATCATACCCAGGCCATCAGGTTCTTTTTCCAGTGACTTGCTCACATTGCTGTCAACAGACTGAAAGTGATGTGGAACAAGCAGCCAGTTCTGTGATGAAATAGAAGGAATGGCAGGAGTGGAGAAGACAGATTGCAAAGAAAGTACAAGCTAGGGCAGAGGAGTTCTTAGATAACTGTTCTTTGGATTATCTTTGATGAATTTTTCAGAAGATGACATCCACTCAGAATTCATCCTTCTCCCATACCAAAAAGAGAATTCTACGCAGAAAAGTTAAAATACACTGGGGAGCCCCAGTAGTTCTGTTCTCAATTTACCTAGCCCTTCAATATACCTCTTGTTTCAAAAGAATTAATACATTAGGCAGACAACTTACTCGTCCAGCTTCATCCAGGGCAAGAATGCAAGTCTTTTGACCCCCATTTTCTTTGAGATGCTGAGGATCCATCTTGTATTCCAAATATCCCCCATTAACAAGAACCTTTTTTAGGTTCAGCTGTCTGAATGAACACAAAAAGGAACGATAACATTAATATTTCTCCTACAAATCCATTAACATGTATATATAAGTGTCACAAAAATTGAGATTTTACATTTAGAGAATCACTTTAAAAAGCAGCTAAGGTAACATACATAGTTTATTGTTATTGTGATTAATTTTCCCTTGTGGTACATTTACCAGTCCTCAAAAACAGAATATTCTCGTGGCTTGAGACAGACAGTAGTTGTCTCATGTCCATCCATTCTTCAAAATAGGTTAACTTCATCTCCACAGGGAGAATACCCTCCCTATTGTAAAGAACGGATGGACAAGTCACAAAATATGAAAATAAACCTCAAGTTCAAGACCCCAGGATAGAATTACACTGTCTTGTACAGCTAGGCACATTAGACTTTTTTTAAGTTTCTTCTGTTGAGAAAAAAAAAAAAAAAAATCATCACACAGCACAGTATGAGAACAACAAAATTAGTTACCAATTCATCTTTCCTTTTTGTTCTGATCCATATGACCAACCTCACCCAGATAGAAAAAAGTAAAAAAGACTCCCCTTCGCCTTTCCCAGTAGGCAGACTGGCACCCAAAGATTCTACATGATGACTAAACTGGGCCAGCAGCAGCAGTTTGGATGTGTGTGAGGAGGCTCAGGGCTAGGGCAGGGGTTGCAGTGGGGAGGTGAGAAGGGGGTGGGGGGGCACGGCGCTTGTCTCAGAGGGAGGGGAGGTCTCCCCAGCTCCAACTGGCATGTCCCTGCAGCTCCTAGGTGGAGGGGCCGGGGGCTCCTGCCCGCACCCACACACACTGCCCCCGCAGCTCCCATTGGCTGCGGTTCCTGGCCAGTGGGAGCTGGCGCATGTGGCTGGAGTACCACGTGGAGCCCCCCTGGCCGCCACTTCCCCTAGGAGATGCAGGGACATGCCATTTGGAGCTGGGTTGGGAGCCTGCCAGCCCCGCCAACCCCCCCCCCCCCCCTTCCCCAGCACCAGCGGGGGTCCCAGCCCACACACTGCCGCCCACCTGCCCCCCATCAGCGGAGGTCCCGGGTCACGTGCCACTGCTCCTTCTCCGCCCCCCCCAGCACCAGCGGGAGTCCTGGGCCGTGCACCAGAGCACCCCGGCCCAAGTTTTAGTTAGGGGTATATAGTAAAAGTCCTGGACAGGTCACGGGCCGTGAATTTTTATTTACTACCTGTGACCTGTCCATGGCTTTTACTAAAAATACCTGTGACTAAAAGGTAGCCTTACTTATAGTTTTGACACAGACTCCTGAAAACATTAGAATGCAACATACTGAACTTTATACACTGAACAATCCATCTTCCTCTAGCTTCAATAGTTTATACCCATCACCCATTAATTAAAACTTAATTATTTAAAAATCTATACTTCATCCTTACAGAATTCATCAAGTTTCTGGGTGGATAAAATTGATTTAAAAAAACAAAAATCAGATTCTTTTAAATTTAAATACTTTTCTTTTAAAAAAATAAACCTGTTTTAAAATAAAATTTTAAAATTATGACAATTATTAAAATCATTTAAGTAAATAAAAATATGCATTAATAAGCCCTCTTCAAGTTTTAAACGAGTCAAAGGGTGTTGCTTTACTTATATACAAAAATCAGGGGAAAACATCTTTAACTTTTGAGCTTAACTTTATATCATGTGCTGCATTATGTATCTATATTATTTTCAGTTTTTCCCACATAATGAATGCTAGTATGTATTTCTTCAAATGTCTTTCATTTTGTTGGGTAGAAAAGCTTTTTCCTTAATTACTTTTGGTTTCAGTTCAGCTAGCAGGTGCAGAGATCCTATTTTCTTCATTTTGAATATAGTTAAAGTTGAGAAACCAATTGAGAGTTTAAAAAGCAGGAAAGCTTGTTTTGTTCTTCCATTCTATTAATAAAAGCCATGTGGTGGAGGATCAGATTCACTAATTCTAAGAACTTGAACAATACCATCCAGATTTTCAAAGGTTTTGAGGCACCTTAAGATACAGGATTTTCAAATACACCTACACCAGTTAGGCTCCTAACTCTTTATTTCTGGTCACCATGGGTCAGGTTTTGAAGGTTCGGAGGTGCCTAACCTGCTTAGAGACCACTGGGATTTTCAGCAGCACCTAACTCCCATTGATTTAGGTGCATTTTAAGACACCAAAGAACCTTCACAAATCTGGTCCATGGTGACCAGGAAAAAAAAAAATCTATCAATTCAGTAACTACAGTTAATATCCCCTTTGTTTATTAAATCAGTTTTAAATGCAACAGATTTTTATAAACTTACTTTCCTATCTACCTGGCACATTAAAGGTCAAATAAAACTCTTAAAATATTGTTTTTGTGCATATTATTTGAATTCCAATGTCCATCTACATTTAGATTGGCACAAATCCAAGTTAAAAAAGATCTAGTAAAGAAATGTGTCTAACATAAAAAAGTGTAAAATTAACAATCTGAATAAACATACGTTAAGCTATATAATTGCTTAAATAAATACGTATAGATATAGTGAAAACCTCCTGGTTAGCACAGATACCCAATCTATAATTTAAAGGCTACATTTGGTTGCAAATCTACATTTTTAATGGTTATACCAACCAATGAGAATTAACCTCTCTTTAGGAAAATAACTAAAAATCAGTGATTTAAGTCACGTTGATTTAAAGTAAATAAACCCTGACAAATTTTGAGATTAATTTCTTCTCCCTGTCCTAAACTAGAAGGGATTTTAAAAGGGTTTACATATAAGTATGGAAGTTTCTCCACCATCATCAAATTGAGAAATAAGACTGAGGATTCAGAATAACGGCTGCTGGAAGAAAAAAAATAAGAGTAAACCTTTTGGCTAGAACAAAAGGAAGCTTCTCTTAATGTTTCCCCCCTCATCTGATTTTCCTGCATCTGCAACCTTCACAGATTTGTTTCGTTTAAATATTCAGTAATTGAAAGTATCCAATTATACATACTCTGTAATTTCTTGAAGCCTTTTTAACAGTTGTATTTTAACTCAGCTATTAGCATATGGCTATTTTACACACCTCCAAATACAAAATAAATCTATTTATTAAAGAAACAAGGCCAACCTTCAATGCCTCCACTAAACAAACAATTATATCAAGCCAAGCTCAAGAAGTCAAGGAAGAAACTTTAAAGGTGACCAGGTATATATCACTTCTTGAACACGAACATCCCTCCTCCAAATCTCTTCCGAAATAGTTTGAAAAAAGAAAAAACACAGTGAAACTAACTTAGTATTGTACTTCCCCTTAAAGGAAAAAATACATACTTGGAAGCCATCTTCTTGCACTGATAGTCTGTGAGCAAGTAAATATCCCCTCTTTCAGTAACACATACTGTAGCACCATCACTTGCAGCGACTAAGGACACGGTGATGTCCTTATGATGCAAAGCAGAGACTTGGCGAGGAGCAGTTACACACTTCTCTCCATTAGGATCCAGCAAATATCCTACAACAAAATACAAACCCCCTATATATGTTATTTGAGATTCACAATTATTTGTCATTTGATTTTGAGAACACTTCCCCATTCTCTCCTATAAATATTCCTGAAAAGCCAATTAAAATTTAATTTTTCTACGTTACCAACTCATCTTCACTATTATTAGGCAGAAACTAATCAAAAAGGTACTTGTCATTTATAGTCACAGTATCACAAAAATGAAGTTTTGAAAAAAAGATAATGGATTTCTGGTCTACACAGTCACAGACCATAGAAAGATAATTAAGTATGTTTAGCCATTACAATCACACAACAACAACAGCTGCATTTATCTTGCTTACCACACTAAACTGAAAGTTCATTAGCAGGACAGATTATACTGTATAAACTCAATTTTATTTGATTATGGCAAGACCGTGCTATTAGTTGACACAGCACATCAACACAACCTCCATGTATCCATAACTAGTTACTGGCAGTGCCAAACCAGCTCCTGCTGCATGAACTGACTCTGTTCAGAAATTGAACAAGCCTCTCTGTAAAGGCTCTTGTACCTAGTTGCAAGGTGGGTTTGTTTGTTTGTTTGTTTTTCCTAAATGGGGGGTGGGAGTGAAAGGGAAGGATTCAGACACTCAATCCCACTCCTGTTTCCTACTTTTTAAGAAGAAAACTATTTTTAGACGTTACTAAAAGTCAGCTATTAATTACACACGATATCTCTAAGCTTATTATTGATGCCAGTCACCTTGATGAAGACACTCAGAGATTATAAATAAATTTATTTTATTTTGTTTGCCTTTTTCCAGAATATATCCAGCACTCTACGTGCTTATTTTCAAACAATATTTTATAGCAAGCAAAAAAAAAGGTCTTCCACATTATTGCTAATTTGACTGTCCTTATATTAGTAATAGCCATCAAAATATTCCTTGTGCTACCATATTCACTAATCCTTCATCCCACCTCTTCCCCAAATACTCAAGAAAAGAAATGGATTTTGTGAGCAAGTCCAGCAGGTAGACAAATCCAGGCTTTGGCAACCATACTGTGTGGAGAAAATTTCAGAGCCACAAAGCCCCTTCTGGAGAACCCTTAAGAGGCTCCAAATTCAATTGATCAAGACTTTGGTAGTATTGTATATAGAGAGACACAGATACAGTCCCTTAAGTAAACATTGATAATAACTATTAAAATAGATTTACATTTATTTAAAATGCTAAAAATTGTCTAAATGATAAAAACCTGTGCAAGTCAGACATTAATATAAATACTGGCAAAGTTAAATATACCCCCAAAATAAATAACTGTTTCGGTCTTATTGTTTTTACAGTATTGGCGGGGGTTAGAAGACAGAGTTATTGAAAGAGTGAGAATTTACACAAAGCTTCACTTCAACATCACTGTTGTAATTTAACCACCATACCTTCTCCCCCTTCCCTGTACTGACAATGTGGCTTATGACATCAGGCTCTGCTGTAGCAGGAGGAGTGACAGAAAGGATTGAGCCACATTGGTCTAGCACAGTGGCTCTCAAACTTTTTTACTGGTGACCTCTTTCAGATAGAAGCCTCTGAGTGCGACTCCCCCTTATAAATTAAAAACACTTTTTAATATATTTAACGCCATTATAAATGCTGGAGGCAAAGTGGCGTTTGGAGTGGAGGTTGACAGCTCGCGATCCCCCATGTAATAACCTCCCAACCCCCTGTTTGAGAATTCCTGGTCTAGCAAAAGCAAGAATCCTACTGCATATCCCACTTATTGGAGCAGCAGAAATTGTATTAGGGTATAATAAGAGGGCCATGAAATAGCAGGGAAACACTATGAACTTAAATTTAAGATCAGAACATGAGATATTTCCAAAATATTTCCTATTAATGACAATTTACTTATCAATAAAGGTTTTTTTTTATTCCCCAACAGTAATATACAAATTTTAACCACTGTTGCCTTGCTCCTACATAAGAGAGAATAAAAGCAGTTTCCAGAGAAGTGCCTAAGCTTCATGGTGTCAGCATACTACTGCATGTAAACACAAAGCACCCGGTTTAGCTAACAAAACTTATCAATCTGCACAGATGTAAACCTGGAGAAAGAGAAACTCAGTCTAAACACCAATATCTGTCTGAGGTTCTAAAGTGTTAAAATGTCAAAAATATTTCATTTCACACAGACCCTAACTATAAATGAAGTTCACTGCTATATGGTATGTTTAATAAGCTATCGTCTTAACTCATCAAATCAAGATTTATTCTGGAAGCAAGAATAAAAGACAATTCTAGTAATGGCTTAGCAAAAACAGCAAACAAAAAACGCCACAATGCATATTCAGATATGTATCTTGCTTTTAAAAAGTTAGTAAGGATGAAAAATTCAGGTAATTCCCAATAGTATATTTACAGATCGGGGAAAGCTGGATATAGAACATAAAAAAGTGCCCACAGTGTGCCCAGTGCTGTGCACAACACAATCACTCGTCTTGGGAAATTACAAATTTAAACAATGTAGTTTGCAGTGTTGTTATAGCTGTGCTGGTCTCAGGATATTAGAGAAACCAGGTAAATGAAGTAAAATCTTTTATTAGACCAACTTCTGTTGCTGAAAGAAGCAAGAGCAGCTCTTTGTAGCTCAGCAGCTTGTGTCTTTCACCAACAGAAGTTGGTCCAATAAAAGATATTACCTCACCCACCTTGTCTCTCTAAATTTACACAATGACATTCTGTATCCTGAAAGTCGTCAGTGATAGGCCACACGAGATTCACAGAAGAGAAAGTTGGCCAAATAAATTTGAACAGTAAAGCTACATTTGACTGGCCCCACGCTTATCCTCAAGCATAAAAATAATCATTGACAGAAGTAAAAAGTGTGTGTTCTGGAGCAAGGGGATGAGAAGTATAACCCAACATTAATTAAGCTTCTTTTCTCATACAGATGACAGCTTTTACTTTGAGTAACATTTTTAAAAGGACAATTTTTATTTGATTCTTACCTAGCTGGCCACCATTCAGTCCCATGGTATATACAGCTTCTCTAGTCCATAGCACTGTATGGAATCTGCCTGCAGCCACTCCAATAACCATTCTACCTTTCAGATTTTTTGCCTGAACCTACATATAAAAACAAAGATTTTCATATAAGTGTCAAATCCCAAGCAAATAAATTTGATGTGCATAAATCAACTTCGTATCAACTGAAGTCCATACTAATTAAACTCTTAATGATTGTATCAGTTTCAGTGAAGATTTGGTATTAAAAAAAGCAGGGTTCATTTCAAAAGTTAGTTAACTGAGACACTGTTCCACCAATGACAAAGAGGAACAAGAAAAACCCAGTAAGGGTTAGCCTATTTCTCCCCCAGGCCCACCACCACTTTGCTAGACCTAGAGCCATGCCACCTTGGGCTATCAACAGATTTCAGAAATAAGCAGGGTTAAATTCAGTACTTAGGTAAGACAGCCAAAGAAAAATACAAGTTCTGTAAAAAAGTGGCTATTGGAATGCTTCACTCTGTTTATGTACCAGTGTCCTAGCATGCTGTAAGAGAGCATTTTGATGCTAGATTTCATCCATCAGATGGAAAGTGAAATTAAGATAATGACCACTTGTTGTCATTGAAGATGTAATCCCATTCCCTGGAGAAACTTTGACTGCCTCCCAACATTCTTCAACCAGTTCAATTAGACCTGTTACTCTTCACTTCCTCTCGCTAGCTGCTGTGTAATGCTGTGCTGCTGAACGCTGCTAGTTGTATTTCACTCCAGATGACACTTCCTTTCAGTAACAGGTAAAGCAATTCTTGCATGCATAGTTGCTTTCAGATAGTAAATAACTTATTCTGAGGTATCACCTTGGGCAAGTTCTCCTCCTTGAAACCTGTGCTTCTTGTCTACAACTATCAGGAACTGTCATTGCAGAAAATTTTCTTTTTCTCTTCCCACTCTACTATCCCTATTACTATTTTTCCCAAAGCACTATCAACCTCTGACATTAAAAGGGAATGGGTGCACTGAGGAGTGAGGGGAAGCCAATGACCCAATGGGCATGCCTAACCTTACAAAGACACAGTCCAGTGGCCTAAAACAATCCATGAAAAAGGATACCACTTAGTAAATATGTATTTTTATTTTCATTCCATTTAAAATAGAAACATTTAACTAAAATAAGTACTTTAGAGAACTTTAGAGTAATATACTTTGCAAGAAAAGTACTAAATGTGCCCAGTCATCAAGTACAGGATTTAGTACTTCTATAACAGGGGTCAGCAACCTTCGGCACGCGGCCCATCAGGGTAATCCGCTGGTGGGCCGCGAGACATTTTGTTTACATTGACCATCCGGAAGCACAGCCTCCCACAGCTCCCAGTGGCCACTGTTCCCAGCCAATAGGAGCTGCGGGAATCGGCTGCCAGCACATCCCTGTGGCCCGTGCCACTTCCCGCAGCTCCCATTGGCTGGGAACGGTGAACCACGGCCACTGGGATCTACGGGGGTCGTGCCTCCAGACGGTCAACGTAAACAAAATGTCTGCGGCCCGCCAGCGGATTGCCCTGATGGGCCGCGTGCTGAAGGTTGCCGACCCTGTTCTATAAGCTTAGAATCCAAGCAGAGCACAGACAGGCAAACCATCTGATTACATAACACAATTATTTAACATTGAGATTATGTGCTAATGAATTGGAGAAGATGGTTTTATTTGACCCCATGTTCCACTGAATTATCCCTACAAAGTTTACATATAGACATCAATATGATCTTAACATTTCACTCTCAGTGAGGAAAAGGTCCAAGTACTAGCTAAGCAGTTATTATTACCTGTCTGGGAACACTGCAGTGAGGAGGAGGAGGAAGAATACCCAGTTGATGGTAAGTATTTAGGCCAAAGGTGTAAACATATCCATCTTCTGTTAAAACAACAGTATGATCCTTGGCTGCTGCTACCTGGGAACACTGATGGCCAATTAGACCTTCTACAAGTCTTGGAACCTAGTACAGATTGACCAAGTGTTGAAGACATTAAAACACTCATTTCTGTACCGAGAGATAATTTTTTAAAAAACCATGCACACACCCCATCACCAAATCACACCAAAAAACCCACACCAAAAATAGAAATGCAAAAGAAAACTCATTTAAAAAGGTATAGAATTGTGTAATTATTGTTTGATATATTACACATTGCATATCACATGGAAAGAAGATTAATATGACAAAATACTTTTAGCATGTACCTTTAGAACAGATCACCTGCAATCTACTCAGGAATTAAACCTAAAGCTTCAAAACATCTGAGCAGTTTTCAATAGTCACAATTAGTGGCGCGTGTGTGTTTCTTTTTTGAAGTTACCCTGATAGAAAAAGGCTTCCTTCTTTCTCCTAAATATGTATTTTTCCTCCAAAATTACAGTGGTGCCATAAGAGTTTGAGGTCCAATATCTCTCAATCCCACAGAAAAGAGGAGAATCACAGCTTTCCAAAAGCCACTTGCTTCTAGCCCTGATTAGAAATGCTGTTTCGGCCAATGTTCAAATGGGGGGTGGGGGCGGAAAACACACACACACACACACTAACGGTTTTTTGTTTAAGATCAATTACATATATAAGGTTTCTCGATAGTAGTATCAATCTCCAAAATATCAAAGCCTTCAGGGCTTTCCATCAGACGTCTGTAAATTGGATTCATAGTACTAACAGAACAAGGAGTAATGGTCTCAAGTTGCAGTGGGGGAGGTTTAGGTTGGATATTAGGAAAAACTTTTTCACTAGGAGGGTGGTGAAGCACTGGAAGGGGTTACCTAGGGAGGTGGTGGAATCTCCTTCCTTAGAGGTTTTTAAGGTCAGGCTTGACAAAGCCCTGGCTGGGATGATTTAGTTGGGAATTGGTCCTGCTTTGAGCAGGGGGTTGGACTAGAGGACCTCCTGAGGTCCCTTCCAACCCTGATATTCTATGATACTAAAGAAGCTTGGCGTTGTAAATGGAGAGATTAAAAAAACTCAACTATTTCTTTTTTAAATGTGTGACATTTACAGAATATAGGTGAAGTGGTCAAATGATGGCATTGGTACTTGTTTGAGACCTAAATCAGTGATTTATGGCTTTGCCATTCATAATTCATGTGGTTATTCCAAATTCTATCCAATAATGTCTTTACAACACACAACTTTATAATATATACATATGTACACACATATACATACACTTGCAATTTCTCTCATAAATTGTTCCACTCTCAGGTTTCTCAGAAAATTTTAAAATGATGTCATTTCATGTAAAATAAGTACATACTGCTGGTAGTCAGTACATAGCCCTGAAGTTTTCATGAAGACTGACACACACAGCACCAAACTGAATTCTAAAGTTTTTATTCATTGATTTGCATAATGCAACTACGTACTACTCAAATGAAAAAATATGTACTGATCAGTTTCAATAAAAATCCATTTTAAATATAAATTATTCCTCTGTAAATAATTTCTGAACAAAGACTGTCATTGTTAAAAATAACCTACAACTGAACAAAATATTAGAACTTTGATGGTGCACTTGGGAAGATGTTTAATGAAGTCTGAGACTGCATAGCTGAAACAAGATTTTTTTGTGCTAGACTATATTTAAAAGATACCAGGTATGTTTGTTCATCACCATGACCCAAGCGTCCTCCTTGACCATGTCCACAAGTGTAAATCTGTCCTTTCTGGGAAAGGAACACCGAATGAAATTTACAAAGCACCACCTGAAAAAAATATATACAGTTACAGTTTGAGGGGTAGCATTTTAGCATTCTTTTTGTAAATTACTTGGCAAATATGCTGCCTTCACTGAGGAAATACAGTCTATCCACACAAGACACAACAAATGTATATCAAACTAGTACACTGTCCATCTTCAGTTCATTGTCTATATGGCACTGGAAACTACAAAAGCACCATGCTCCTGCATGGAATTATTTAATATTATAATCTGTTGTTGAAAACAGTTTCCATTTACAAAGCTAGGAATTTATTATGGCTTTCAAATCAGAAGTCAATCCAACATTTTACATCATCGCCATGGTATCTATACATCCAAAAAGAGTTGGGAGCCATTGATCTGTGTACTGAAGAGAAAATAATCCAGGAGCAGTTTCAATGACTAAAATAGTACTGTTATATGAGAAAGGGCGGCAAGATCAGCTCCAATATTTAGATTATTTCTCTGTGGAAAAAGAATCTTACTCATGATGGTATATGGGTTAATCTGTTTTTTTCAGAATACCTGTTTAATATAGACTCCATTTCTAGGAAACAGATCCACCAATTCAGGATGATGTTTGCTCTGTTGACCACCATGACCCAAGGTAAAATTTATGTTGTTTCCCCAAGTGTAGACATCTGTGGGATCTAAAATTCAAAGGACAAATTCCATCTGCAATATCTACTACATCTGTGTGTGAGTTGCATTAATTTAACTCCACCTCCGATATAAATGTGAATTAGAACAGTATACATGTTACTCCACTTAAAAATAAAATTTGAAGAAACTAGGTAAATTCTATTTTAAAGGTATATTTTAAAAAAAGATTATTTTGAGACTTTAGAATGATTAACCATTAAATATTTTATCATATTGCATGTCCTGTACATTATGTCTCTTGTTCATATATTTCTCACAATATTTGTCCAACTTCACAGAGCACACATGCATCAGTAAGAACTATTTACATGTCAAGTCTGCAATAGAAAACTGCACAAACTACCTTAATTGGTATGCAAGTTTTGTCTTCCACATATATAAAAAAAATGATGCTTGAACTCTAACTGCTAAATAGATTTTCTTCAAATCTTCCCAGTTAATTTATATTCTAGACCAACAACAAGAACTTTCAACTCAAAAGACACTTTTTTTTTTCTAAATTTATATAGTTTAGAGCTGTGGAAATAGAGTACCCTCTCAGCTGTAATTACCATGATACTAGCATGTGAACTTTAACTTATTTCCCTCTGACAAACAGATAAGAAAGTCAAATCAGTTCTGATCCAACACTAAGTTTATATTTTATCTAAAGATACAAAGCACGATTGTAAAAGTAATCACTAATATTTTAAAATCAACTAAATATGAAAACATAATGATGAAATAGTGTTTAATAAATAGAACATAAGGTAATGTCAGCCCAGAATTTAGGTTGCATACATTTCTTCTACCAAAAAAAGTAAGTTATATTTGTGCAATGAAATATTACAGCAATCAAAAATTTCATTGACTAGCAAAGGAAACTGACAAAACTATTTTCATTGCCCAAAAGCTGACTGAAATGGGGAAAAAAGCACAAGTGGAGCATCAATAGGAAAAAGCAGGTTAGATTTTTAAAATTCAATTAGATTAATTCAAAGGGATATTAGTAACATAGATGGGGAAGTATATTCAAAGAAGATTTTAAACTTAACAGTGTCTTAAGAAAGTCCTGGTATACTCACACTAGCAGATCACATTACTTAGCTATAACAATAACTTGCCAGTGACTAGAATTAGTTTACTTTTTTAAAATTATATAAAAGTTGCACTAAAGTGTTTTGAAGATAAAAAAAACCAGATACAAAATTATAAAACTGGCTGCTAGGAGATACAGGGAATTCATTTAATCTATTAACCCTGGTGAAAACCATGAGGGATGTAATTCAGTCATAATTAGAAACAGATAGTACTGTCTACACATGCACACACATTTATATGTTGATAGCAGTACACATCCTATAGGAATATCTGTATTCATTTGATGCCCTACCCGTTTTCTTGAATACTACATAGGCTGGTCTGTCCTTCATCACAAGGTCCAAGGCAGATAAGCCTTCTTTATCTTGTATGTATAAACTAACCCCACGCTGAAAGAGGAAAAAACACCTGGTATGAATATTACTATCACTCCTCATTTCACAGCTAGTAAAGAAATGAATATGATAAATATTCTTAGGTGACCTCAGTGTAATTTTACATTTGAGAAGCTAATAAATCCTTTACATTCCAGGACAGTCTAAAGATGGATTTAATCTCAATAAATAATAATCAGGGACAAGTGAAATGGACTTATGATACCAAAATAAGTCTACAAAAAGGCTCAACTGGACAAGCTTCAACAATAACTACTGTTCTGCACACAGTGAAAAACACGGAACTGGCACTGACTCCCACAGTTGAAAATAGGCAAACAGGTCTCCCTATTGTGCTTTTAGATCTACTGATGAAAAAGCACTATGCAAGAGCTAGGCATTATTATTACTGTTGGGCACCTTCACCAATGGTAGCAAGTGTTTGTGATGGAAGTGGAGCTGCTCTTTAATAATTTACAAATACTCTATGTTTACTTGTTAATTGGAATATTTTCTCTATGAACGTTGGTTTACTAATAGGAAGGTGTGTGAGGAAAAAAACAAACAGGAAAGAAAACAATGGCTGAAGATACACCACCCCACTAACACAGAAGCTAACACACACACTGTTGGTTATTATTTTTTATTTAAAGGATAGCTGATCAAGTCATTTTCACTAATAAGATGGGGGCTGGGGGTCTGATTGCTGTGCATATTCAAACACATAGCAATCTGGACTCTGAACTAAAAGAATTCTTCAGAGGTCAGTCTGCACTTCAAACTGTCTTTTGGGGTCTTTTGTTCATTCCTGCAGAGGCTGCAGTCTCTAACACTGGAAGACTAACAGATTTCATCTTTGGATGAATTATTCAAATATTTGCTGGACTGATCTAACATGATTAGCTCCCCCAAAAGAGTTCATGTTAGCCCTGGAAGCAGTTCCGAAAATGTCAAAGGAAGAAGTATATATATATATTTTAGTGCAGCTATTGCTATACAGTTTCTAGGGGCAAAGAGAAGCAAGTCACCACACACACAAAAAAACAACAAAAAACAGCAGCTTGATGGGACACCACCTATACTGAAAAAGTTTTAAAATTCTCCAGTAATGAATCTCAGACACTCTAAAAAGTTAACGAGAGGTCATTAGAAAGTGTTGAGAAACATACTACTTGAAAATGTTCCAAGGAAAGAATGCTCAAGATGAAAGTAAAGTGGCACATGAAACAAGCATTTTAAAAACACCAAAACTTCTAAAATTAAAAATGTTGGAGCCACAACCATTTTTGTTAGTCTGCCAGTTGAGAACAGATAAGACTAGCAACGATCAGCCAGTGTAATGCCTTAAGTAAGAAGGGCAGAGATCCCTGACGTCTATCTGGTCAGTGATTAGCTAAAGAGATAAGTGGGACAGAGCTAAAGCCCAACATTACAATCAGCTTCTAATTAATTTCACTTTCATGTACTACTAATAAAAAATTAACAAATCAGGTATCTGTAGCTCAAAAATTTGTAAGTACTGTTTCCATTTAACTACTTTTAGAGTGTCATGGAAACATTTCCATTAGATATTTGGTAAACGCTTATTTTTACAGAAATTCAAAATTTGGTGCCAAATCTAAACCCAGACTGTTTTGTTAAGATCTCTACCCTGCAAGAGTTTCCAAGTAAATGGAAAAACATGCAGCCCATTGACTTCAACAGGATTCCTCACAGGCTCAGGGGTCAGCTCCTGTGGAGTCACTTACAAGAACAACACTTGAGATCCCGTCTATATTCCAAGTTGCACAGGTTTAACTTCAAATTGGCTTAATTGTTATTAAAAATAAGGAATCAAGTTAAACTAAAATCAATGCAGGTCAGGTTTAAATTGAATTAAGCGGTGTCCACAAAGAGTTTTGTACTAGTTTAGCTCAATCAGTTTAAAAGTCACACCTTCAGTGAAATTTTGAAACAGGAAAAGGCATTTTGATACAAGTTCATGCATCACACATCCCAAACATATTAAAAAAATTAGTGTGCAATACATAAAGTCAGATACTGACCTTCAGCAATGACCAAACACAGTCGATGTGTCCATAAAAGATGCCTCTGTGCAAAGCTGTCCATCCAGACTCCTTGTCTTTTGCCAATAAATCCACTCCTTTGGTGTCTGCCAGCCAATCTAGCACACCTTTCTTACCACAGGATGAAGCAAGATGGAGGACATTCCTGCCAAAGGTATCCTTTAGGGTTGCTGAATTGTAGCAGTAAGAAGAGAGAAAGGCCTTGATCTGGCCTTCACTTCCTCTGGTAACTACAGAAATAATATCTAAAGCATGCTGCAGGGAATGACACTTCAGAGTGCAGTCAGGCAGGATAGAATTCATTCTCACCTTTCTGAAACTGCTCCCTCATTAAGAGGAGCAGCCAGTATGAATGCTAAGGCACTCCCTTTTTATGACACAATACAGTGCTGCAGGAAATTCATGACTCCTAGTACTTAAATTCAGTTTTATACAGCAGCTATGAGAATCTTCATGCAGTTATGCTTGGCACTTAATCAAAAAATATAAATATTTATAAATATAAATTTATATTTTAAAGTCTTATTTCTCCATTTTATACAACAAAAATCTTGTTATTGTCCATAGAAAATTCCAAGAATCAAAGGAGTGGGGAGGAGGGCTCCCCCTCCACACTGTCTAATTCTTCTAAATCTCCATAATTGCAAGGGAGACCTGCAAGAAAAGGGATAAAAGAAGAAAGAGACAAGGATTATGCAACATTCAATAGACTTTTATACCAAGACCGTACTTGTTTGTGGGTGTGGGTTTGGGGTTTTTTTTTTGTTTTTTTTAAATAAATATGAGAAACATTGAATTTTGGTAGGCCCAATTTTTGTTATCTATTGCATTGATGTCTCCATATATCATAAAAGCCCAACTTGATTCCTGTAAAAATATGAAATTTCTCAATCATGCCCCACAGTTACTCCAGTTGGCGGAATCACTCAACAGCCCCCTTGATTATCCAAATGATTTAAATAATTTATGGATTAAAAGGACAGCAAAACTTTAAAGGTAAACTGGGCCATAATCTACATCCACACACAAAATACTTGTCATTCTTTAAACGTGTTTGGGGAAGGGGGGAAGATTGCTGTTTAGTTTTTTTTTGGCAAAGGACTCAAAAAATTATTCTCACAGAGGAAAAAATAAATGTGGGTAAGGAAAAAATTTCAATTTCAAGATTCAAATGATTAATTTTCAAGCATCTGACCAGTGAGACTAAGAAGGATTCTTAATTATGGGAAATATCCATGGCTGCCAGACACTATAGCATTGTGTTTTGTTTGTTTTTGAAATGAGTACAAACAACCAGCATTCAAAACCAAAAAACCATCCCAAACATTCAGATAAGTACATAATCAATTAGAATAGTCAGTGACCTACATACACCACTCAGGAAAATTAAAACTGCTGTTCAATCTGAATTTGAACTCCTATTCAAGCTAAACAAAATAACCCCACAACACACAAACTTTAAAACATCAACCTTCTCCAGCACAAACGTCACATTCTTAGCCAGCATATCCCTCGGCCTGCGCCGCTTTCCGCAGCCCCCATTGGCCTGGAGCGGCGAACCGCGGCCAGCGGAAGCCACGGTCAGCCAAACCTGCGGACACGGCAGGTAAACAAACCGGCCTGGACCGCCGGGGGCTTTCCCTGAACAAGCGGCGGCCCAACTTTGAGAAGCCCTGAGCTATAGCATTCATCACAGCTCTGCATATCCCAGAACATTAATGAACTTAGCTGACCATCACTTTGTGAGGTAGGGAAGTAATATCACCACTTTACAGACAGGAAAACAGGTTAAAACTTTTGCCCAACGTCAACAAAGGAAGACTGTGGAAGAACCAGGAACAGAACACAGATATCCCAATTCCTAATCCTTGTCCTTATCCCTCTCCATCACCTTACTGGCAGAAATACTCACAGAAAGCAATTGTTATAGAACATTTGCAAAAAAATGAATTCTGAGCTCAAATGTGACTTGCAGCAGAAACATGATTCTAAATAAACAGTATTAATCCAAACGATCTCATGTGAAATGTGCCCAAAATTAAATAATCCCTCAAATATTAAATACAACAAATTTATTGGGAATAAACTAATCTACAGACCAAACCTGTGCAGAGTGTATTTGCTAAATAATTTCTAATAGCAAGTAATTTTAAGAAAAATAAACTGCTTGTGGAAAATTCAAGAACAGAGTACATTTTTAGTAAGTTATTCACTATGAATTATTCACTCTGCTCTATTTAACAGTAACATTCAGCAATATTTCATAAATCAAAAGAAATTGCAGCAATCCAATTTACATTTGTTCTATATGACACGCTATCTGGACATTCTACCAACAGACCCGGTGCTAGACCCGAGGTGCAGACAAATTCAGTTCTGCATTGGATATTCATAGATTCCAAGCCCAGAAGGAATCATAGAATCATAGAATATCAGGGTTGGAAGGGACCTCAGGAGGTCATCTAGTCCAACCCCCTGCTCAAAGCAGGACCAATTCCCAACTAAATCATCCCAGCCAAACCATTGTGATCATCTAGTCTGAACACCTGTATAACACAGGCTATTTGAACTATAGCACATCTTTCAGCAAAACACACAA